CCTTTTTATTTACAGAGGGAATTCTCTTCATTCATTGTGGTCGGTGTTTACATCCCACCACAAGCCTGTGAGGCTCAAAATCAGCTTGTTGACCACATAGCCAACAAGGAGAAACAAAACATCTTGCCTGATCATTATTTGTAGGGGTTTTTACAGTGCAAACCTCACCCATGAACTTCCAAAATGCAGACCACAGATTAAGTGTTCCACCAGGGATGCTAAACTACTAGACCACCCTGTGTGCTGTTCCCTGTGCAGCTCATGGACTCTGATCACTGTCTGCTTCACCTTATAGCTAAGAACGTCTAAGCCTGAGATTAAAACCATGAAGAAATGGACTGAGGAGTCAAAGGAGGAATTACATGTAAAAAATGTAAAAAATAATAAAAAATAAAGAAAAACCATTAAATGGTCTAAAGATGGCTGTCTAGAAATGGTTGCAATTTCTAATCACGCAATTAATGAAAATCAAATTAAAGTTAAAAAACAATTCTGTAATTGTCTAAAATAGTTATGATCTGTAGTCATGTTAATCAGTATAATCTGTCCCTTTAAATAAACAAGTTATAACAGTTAGAATTAGTAACAGTCTAACTTATAACCTTGCCAGTCTGTTTACGAGACATGCCTTAAACCTTTAGTGGAAAGTTACTGTGCAAACCCCCTCCCACAGTACCTGCTCTTTACACTGCACCAAAGCTCTTTGGATCTCATTAGGATTGAGGGCATGAGCATGAGGCAAGCAGCTCAAGGCCAGCTCTGCTGCTGCCCGAACCATGTTGGGGTCCCTTGCTCGCGATGCTCGGTCCGCGAGGGATGCCACCTCTGGAGGGGTCAGGTGACCGTCCCAACATTCCACCAAGATGTTGAGGGCAGCACTGCCGATTTCCATGGCTTGGCCTGAAAACAAAAAAAGGACACAGGAGGAAAAGTAAGTGACTAACGTGGGCCATTAAACGTGGGCCATTATCTTTTTCCTTCAGCCACACTTCTGCTCACCCGTGATCCAGGACACGTGGGAGGAATAGGTCCTGGACAACCAGTTAGGTGAAACGAAATTGTGGAGGCCAAGAGCATACAGGCCGATCTCAAAGGCACATAGGTGCAGGTTTCTATGTGGACCTTGGTGCCCCCCACTGGCTGAGGGCTGAGTGAAAATGGAGGTGGAGGAGTTTCCTCCAGCTTTGATCAGCACAGTCTTAGCCAGTTCAAAGTAAAAGTGAGCTGCTGCTTCTGAGGGCTGATTGGGGACATGGGGGGCGTGACACTCAGGACGTCGTCCTTTGTACCTAAACAAAGAATTTATGACAAATTAATTAATATTAATTAAAATACATACACAAACTGTGGATTTCCACTATGTAACCAAAGCTCTTTACTTCTTTAGTTTTATTTTGTAGAGGTATTAAATCTATAGGGCAGTATGAGTTTTTTGATCCCGTCCATCAATGTGTACATTACACAAATATGTAAGACTGCTTTTTTGCATTTGCGCAATAACACTCAAGAACTAGTTTATCGCTCCCTGAAAAGCTTACAGTTGATCCAAAACTCTGTAGTGAGAGTACTGACAGGGATTAGAAAGAGAGAGCATAATTATGGCTTCATTGGCTCCCTGTTCAATCCAGAATCACATTTAAAATGCTTCTCCTCGTATACAAGCTCTTGAATAATATGAGACCCATATTATCTTAAAGACCTCATACTACTGCATACCCTCAAAAGAGCGTTTACTTTTTAGATTAGACTTAAAACTTTCCTTTTTGCTAAAGCATACAGTTAGGGCTGGATCAGGTGAGCCTTAGTCCTTTAGTTAAGCTGCAACAGGCCTAGGCTGCTGGGGGCTTCCCATGATGCACTGGGCATTTCTTGTGTTTAATCATTCGTTATTATTAATCTCTGACTCTCTTCCTCGTGTTGTCCAGTCTTCCTCCCCTTACTTCTAACTGGCAGGCAGCTGAACATCCATTTCTCTGTATTATCTGTCTACCTTAGAATATAAAGTGCCTTGAGTCAACTTCTGCTGTGATTTGGCACTACATAAATAAAACTGGATTGAATTTAATAATAATTTGATCCAAAAAATGTCAAATTTGGATTAATCACTCCATCTAACCTGTTGTCATAGAGCTTCAGTCCACTTTTTGTGTAATCTGGCATACCTCAGCCATTTCTACCAGTTTCCCTTCCTTAGAAACTGTTTCTTGACAGCCACCATAACTCACTAAGACCAGTGAACAGTACATAGACCAACTGGAGGGCTAAATGCATCCCTCGGGTCTTGTGTCAGCTCCTTTCTGGACCTTTCTTTTTCTTATTTCTTATGGATCATCCTTCTGTAGATATTTTTAGGCCCCATCTTCTTTTGTGCACCAACTTTCCTCAATTAAAAAAAACACAAACAAACAAAACAAACACCCCCACTGCTCAGCATGACTACATATGCAGAGTTTTTGCCTGATAGCTTGTTGGGAATCATTTTATTGGTGCTTTTCAGAGATTCAACTAAAGAAATGCAAAGCTTTAGTTATCTTTTCCATACTTCTCATATTCAGTATGCACCCAATATAAACATGTGTGAGTTTACCTGCTTGTGTCCGTGCTCTTGGCTCTGGCCCCACCTCCTGCTCTGCGAGAGCCACTGGAGGAGGAGGAGCCTAAAGAATCAGATGATGAACTACTGATGCTGTCACTGTCCTGACCCCGCCCCCAAGATGCTGCTGCCCAGCCGCTCCGCATTGGCCGCCGGCTGAGAGTAGGAGAACTGTCTGAGGTGGTCTCTGGAGCACTGCTATCAATACTCGCCATACCTGTCGAAAAAAAATCAACATCCAGTCCTGTTTGATGTGTATGTATACACATATGAACATATACATACATATACATATATA